CGCTCTTCCCTTTTCCAGACTGTTTCTGGTATAACCTAGGGGAAATTATCCAAGTTCGTCGCTTATCCGAACACCACTGGTTCATAAATAGTTGCAGCTTTATAGTATATATTTTAACAAGTTGGAGCCATTGTGTATGCAGCCAGCCCAGACTGCGATCCGCATATTATTTCCAATTTTTGCCTCTTGCCTCCTGCTCCTCCCTTTGCCTCTTCTGCGTTCATAGATCCCATATTCTTTTATATACTACTGCTGATTTTTCAGGGCAAAAATTTAATCTGTCCAGGTGTGTCGTGTAGCACCGAGCGCGCTGCAACATTGATTCCAGAGTTTGGACTAATCCTATGCTAGAGTAAAAACTCTTAATGCTATTCCTAATGTCCTAGCTGGGAAGCCAAATTAAGGCTCAGATGCCTTTCAGAGTTGGCTCAGTCTACTGGTATAATGCTGTTCTGGAAAAAAAGTATTTTAAACTGGGGAGTTAAATTAACTTTTCATTATTTTTTTTTCCCGTCTCACTTCAGAAGGGTAAGGAACTTGCATTGAAACCAATCTGACTTAGAATAAAGATGTTTTTAGTTCTTATTTTCCATAGATTTACTTCCAGCATAAATTAGAAATCACACTTTTGTAATATAACGCAGGTGTGGGCAGACTCAAGATAAGAGTTGGGTTTTTTTTAATCTGTTCTAAAAATGCTGCTGACTAACAGCAGTCCAAACAGCCCTTCTTGGTTACAAGCCGTGTTTGTTCTTGAGCTGCTCCCATTTCAGCTGCAGCCCCTAAAGCTAATAACTTCTCTCTTCTTTTTCCTTGCTCAATTTACCCTGAAAACAGAGCTAAGACGTTCACCGAGCAAAGCTCTCCTCCTAACCTGTCCAACAGCAACGCTCAAGGTCTTTTTCACTTCCGTGAACGATCAGGGTAAAAAAAGGAAAGGTTTCTATATTGTTCACGTCCATATTGGGATAATAAATGTTGTCTGTGATTTAATATAAACCTTTTACTGTCCGGAAAGCAGGAGCAGGTACCAGGTCACTCCAGCGGATAGGTTGTAGTCTCTCAACGCAGCTCCGTTTTCACTCCTTTATCAGTGCACGAACAAAACCAGCTGTCAAACAAACTTGCCACACCCCAGGGCTGAAACGCCCTTTGCTTCACAGGGGCTGTTACCATCTTTCTTTGACCTTGAAATAAGCCAAGACTTAGAAAATGCCAATAAATCTGTTTGCTTTCCTTGAATCCATGGCACACAGCAATGAAATAGTCCTAGGCCGGTTTAAGTGTCCTTTCGGATTGCTGCCGTTTCTATAAAAAGAAAACTGAAACACAATCTCCGGTGCATAAGCCCTCTTTCCTCTTGTTCTGATTAAGCACACGTGTCATCTGTGCAAGATATTTGTGTATTTCGATGCAAAATAGCTTTATATGGAGGTAAGTATAAAAGTGTAGCTCTTTCCTCTATGCATATCCCAAAAATGTCAGTGAAGTTCAACCTGCGAGTGTAACTTCACAAGGCTCCTGGTCATCTGCGAGAGCTGGGGATGTCAACTGCTTTTAATTTTTATTTTTTATGTTGATTCACACCCGCGGACGCAGAAGAGCAGCATGAAAAGCTGCTGAACGTTTCTCGCGGCTGGAAGTTTGCTTTCAGAAAGATCCTTAGCGCAGGTACACGCATCTTAACACACCTGAATTCCTGCAAATGGACACGGTGGCATATGGAAAACAGGAGTATTTTAGCTATTTCTATGCGAAGCAGCATGCCGGTGGCATGTTTTACAGGCGTACTTAGCTTCTGTGCAGCCAGGAGCTGCCCATTGACTTGGGATGCAACAGATGCAACAGCCTCTGGGTCAGTTCTGCCGCCCTTTCAATTTGAGAGTACAGCGCAGTTAGGCCTAAAGTACTTTTCTCTCCTTCTCGAGTTGTTTAGGATCCACTTCATGTGCTTGTGTTCGTCTTGTGTCTCCACAGTCTCTTGAAAAAGCAGCATCAAAAGACTCGAGTTTTTAAAAGATTTATTTAAAGAACAGAGGAGAAAATCTCACTTGCTTTCTCCTTTGCAGTCGATTTAAAAAGTTCTCACTATCAGGGTAAGATTTTTACAGCTGATTTGAGTCACTGGGTGACACAAGGCGGGGAAAAAAACCTGTCCGTTCCTTCCTTTCGAAACAGCGGTGGTACCACTGGGTCTGCGACGGCTGGTGGAGCTGGGAGTCCCGAAACAATTTCTTCCTCTTTTTGGCCCCCGCAGCGTGTTAGCGTCTCTCCCGAGCTGCAGGACTAGCTGCCGGTGCCACTGCAGCTCGCTGTAAAGGTGCCGTGGCAGCGGCGAAAGCCGTTTGTACGCGTTCCCTGCACGCAAAACGTGAGCCGCTGTGTCTCAGCGGTCAGCCGTGCGCAAAAACGTAGCGTGCGGGCCAAGGACCCGTTGCGGCGGGGGTTTCAGAGCCAATTTTTTTTCAGAAGGCCGCTTCTGTAGAGCGGATGGCATTTATTTTCAGTGATGAAACCACACACTCAACAGCGGGGGCACGTTTGCGAAAGCGTTTCCCAGCCTGCGGCGGCCGAGGGCAGGAATTGGCACTCGCGGCCTGGCAGGCGCCTGCGCGCTGTTCTCTTTACGGCTAAGCTGGGAAAACGGGCTTTCGCCAGGAACTCGGGGAAGACGAGAGAAACCCACTGCTACAACGTAAACCTGCTGCTGGTGTAACCCTGCAGGTAGTTCCCGCGAGGCTTTTGCATGCGCGCTGTTGTGCAAACAATCGTTTTAGATAGGTTAAATCTTTGTAGCCTCCTCCAGGGCAGACTAAGGCGTTTGTCCGGGCGCAAACATCCGTCGCCGCAGCCTGCCAGGAGGAACGGCGAGTTTCTGAAGCGCGGTGGAAGCGCAGAAAGGTGGCCCAGGGTTGCCTGGCTGCAATCCGGCGGAGGGCATCGGGTTTAAGAGCCAGAATTGCCTTGTGTGTTTTTAAGGCTACAAGCATAAGGCAGCCCGCATGAATTCTTTGCAAACAGGTAAAAACGGCGTTCAGAAGAGGATGCCGCTTAACGTGCAAAACCCAGGAGCCTTTTACTGGTCCTCTGAGCTTTCTGCTTGGACGTTTTCCCCTATGGATCGCTTACTAATGCTGTACAGAGGTCAGAGAGGAGCGCAGAGCCAGCCCGAGCTGGTTGCTGGTCCCTCCTCCAGTTTCAGCTGCTTCGGAGACGGCTGGCGCAGAGAAGGGTGCGGGAAGAACAAGCTGCTGACGTGAGCTTTTCTGAGCAACCTTGAGCAGCGCCCGGGCGAGGATGGCTGTTTGGCCCCAAAGTGTATATCTCGACTGGTTTTTAAGCGTTTAATGTTGCCAAGTCGTCTTATATTTTGATTTTAGGAAAATCCTTCTAAGCAGCATTAAGGAGGCAGAAAAATGAAAGAATGATTCCAGTAAATATTAAATGTGTGGTTGTTTCAGCATGATTAAAAATTGGCACGATTTTAAAGTGTTACAGGGACGAGCTGGGTCAGCGTATCTGAAAATCAAGCGGTCTCTACGTGGAAATTGTAACGGACGTTAAACTAGAATTAGTCTCTTAGAGTGACAGCGCGACGCGATAGGAGGGGTCTGTACTGGGCAAAAAATTGTCTTGCGAACGCAAGTAAACCCAGGATCTGGTTTGGGTTTTCTTTCACCGACTGTTTTCACGTAAGGTGCTTCGACGACAGCGCTGTCAGAGTACTGGTGTTCGCTGCGCTCTTCGGCCGAGTCTCTAAAGCGCAGGTAACAAAACACAAGAAATCCCCGAGACCGCTTGTTCCTACCAGTGCCGTTTCCCTCCTGAGACGGCGCGGGTCAGAGGACGGGATCGTCCTGCCGCTCAGCGTGGAAGAGAGCCCGTCACCTTAGGAGACCTTCCCTCCGCCGCCGCCGATCGGTGGCCTGCCTGGACATGAGCCCGGCTGAGACGGAGAAGCAGCGCAGCGACGCAGGCGAGAGCCTGGGCTCGGGTATCTGCTTCCCGGATAAACACCGCTCTCCAGGAGACGTTTTTAGCCGTGCTGTTAGAGTGGGGTGTCCCTAAAACAGCACTTCAAGCTCGCAGGGGGACTGAAGCTAGTTGGGTTTTTTGGGAGGGTTGGTTTGTTTTTCCCAAGTCCGTGCTTGACGGAGATGACCTAGCTCTAAGTCGGGGACAGAATACTTTTTGCTTCTGTTCCCTTCTGTTTGTTCACTCGCGGAGCAGCAGGAAAACGAAGAGCGTAAATCGGGCATTCATGACTTGGAGAAGCTCACGGCAGGAGATGCCCAGCCTCGGACGGCCGCCGCGGGGCCCCGCGTACGCGCTGAGCGCTCCCTGGGGTTCGTGGCCGAAAGGCTGAACGAAGATACGGAGGCTCAGGCTTATCGGACGGCGTCTCCGGTTGAATACGTTAGGCTTGCGCTTAAAGGGAAACGTTGAGTCATATCTGGTTCTTTTGGACACTGAAAATTTCAGCCTTCGGTGCTGCTGTAACGCGCGGGAGGCCGTGGGGCTAAGGAGGGTTGCGTTGAAGTGCTCGGAGCAGTGGTTTGCCACTTCTGCTTCTCAAGGGTCCGTGCCGGTAATGGAGACGGGCCGGTCCAATGGGTCAGGAGGTTTGAACTCACTGTATCAGTCTTGCCTCTCCAGTGTACTGGTTTTTAGGGTTTTGTGATCAAACTTAAAAAAAAAAAAAAAAAAAACGCAGTAATTCAGAGAGTCGGAGCCAGCTGAAGGTGCTGGTGGTGCTGGTTCCACTGGCTTAATCCACCGAGACTTTGGCTCGGGGAAGACTTCAGCCCGTAAACAGGATGTTCCCAAACTTGAGAGATCGCTGCCCGGTGCCAAATTGAGTCGCTGGGGCTCCTAATTTTAAACTTTTGACTTTTGCTTTCTGCAACATTGAGAAAAAAGAGCGTTGCAGGATCTCATTCGTGTCAGGCAGGGAAGTCCTTCATCACCGCGTTTCCTCCAAACGAATCCTTTTGGGGAGAGGAACCAGCTGTCTCTGGGGAGGGTGTTTGTATCCTAAACCCCGGGTCCGTTGCCAGGGCCAGTCGTGGTGCTGCTGCACAGAGGAAGATTTCGCAACGGAGGATGCTCTGGTAGCTGACCGCAGTCCTGCTGTTTCAGCCGTTCTGGTCTCGCCGTTGTTCAGACTGTGGGAAGAGCCTCGTTTCCGAAACGATCAGGCACGGTGGTGGCTGGGGAGCTGACGCGACCCTGGGGCTGATGGCGCTCTTAACACCGCTGGGCTTGTTAAGCCGTAGCGCAGTGGGGAAGGAAAAGAAAAACAAAACCTCTGCGACCTCTCGGAGAGCAAGTAGGTCGAGGGAGCGTAAAGGGGCAGTGACGGTTGATTTGGGATATCCGACTTGCAGGTGGCGTTTTGCTCCCAGGGGGAACAAGGGACTTTTTGAGCATTTTGGACACAGAGAGATGCAGGGGAAACGAGTAAATCGCATCTCGCAGCTGAAGTTCTCCGTGGCAACCGCTCCCGGCCCCGGTGACGCACGCGCGCCTGAGCTAAGTCCTCCCTTCCCTGGAAGCTAAACGCAGAAACGCAGCCGTTTTAGACGGTGACGGGCACAGCTGGGAAACCACCAAAACGCCTCTTCTCGTTTCCGTGTAACGTAGCGGCGAACAAAGCGGATGCGTTCTCCGAGTAGCCTGGCGTCAGCCGCGGAGAGCGCGGCGCCGTGCGGAGACGCACGCAGCCCAGCGAGCAGAGCGGAAGCACAAAATCAAAGCGGAAGAGACGAGATTTACTTCCCAATTTTATCTAAGATGTAATCATCCAAGCGGTAGTGATGGTGGGGGTTTCAGTGTGAATGTTTTGCTTTGAAAGGGACCCAGCAGAAAACGAGGCCTTTTCGGGATGGCCAAGCAGTCGCGGGCTGCAAAACCAGCCGGCCCAGCGCTGTCGTTGGCTGCGATCGGAAACCGGGCGTCAGGCAGCGCTCGCAGGGCTCTCACATTTTTAATCTTTCTCTCCTTAGAGCGGGAGCGGGACTGCGCTGGAGGGAATTCCCTACCGGCGCCTGAACCGGCACAGGCCAAACCCGGCCTCGGCTGACCTCTCGGAAGAGGAAACCCAACGAATCGCCAGGATATTCTCCGCTCGGCTGTCCAAGAAGGAGTAGGTTGGCGCGCGTCTGTCCGGAGGGACTGCTTTCCAGCTGCCGCTCACGGCCGACGTGGGCAAACGCTGGCTCCTCCGGGGGAGAGAAGGTGACATGAGCAGGTTTCGGTCTCCGATTGTTGATTCGCCTCGTTGTACGCATTTAAAGGGAGTTAAATCCTAGCGGTCAACCGAGGGATCAGCTCCCGGGCGAAGCTGCGCGTCTTGCAAGACCGGTGCTTGGCCAGACCCAAATCAGTGGGCTGTTTTCTGGCCTTCGGCTAGGCGAAGCCCATGGAGTTTCTGAGATTTAGTTGTGTGAAACTTCTCTAATCACCTTTTTAAGAAGCTGGGGAACCACAAAACACGCCGTTTTGGGCCGGCTGCTCTTTCTGGATGCAAAAGGTGGAGAATATTAGAAATTTACCACCCCAAAGCGAGACGGAAAACGGAGCTGCTTGTGCACGTACAAACCGAGGATGCTGTAAAACGCCCATCTGTGTACAAAATGGTTTTACTGGAAATGTGAACTTTTGTACTGTAAGTTATTTTTGTACATTTTTGTCAAGTATCTTTCAGATAATGGACTCCAAAGCAAACCGAGCTAAGTTATTTTTGTACCGCTACGCAAACGCTGTTTGTGTTTCAATAAAATTACACTGGTTTCTTTGTCATCGCGTGCTTAAACGCGCTGCTGCCCGGTCCCCAGGCTGCTGCTCACCTCGTAGTGGGACTTGTTCCCACCGGAGCCACCAGTAAGGGCTGGGAGAAGACTTCTTTAGAAAGACGCTTTCCAGACGACGGTGCCTCTGGGGGGTCAAGGCGAGGGTCGCTGCTTTGCGAAGCGATGGGGCCTCGCCACGCGCGCTGGCGAAGATGCGCCGCTGCAGGCAGCC